TTAAGGGCAGTTTGGAGTCCAGCCAACCTAACATGCAGGTTTTTGGACGGTGGGAGGAAGCCGGAGAACCCGGAGAGAACCCACAGACACAGGAGAACATGCAGACTCCACCCAGAAACGTCCTGGTTCCCCCGGGACTCCAACCCAGAACCCTCTGGTCCTGGTTCTCCCGGGGACTCCAACCCAGAACCCTCTGGTCCTGGTTCCCCCGGGACTCCAACCCAGAACCCTCTGGTCCTGGTTCCCCCGGGGACTCCAACCCAGAACCCATTGTGGACAATAACATCAGGGAGCTCCAACTTCCCTGGCCCCTTTGCTTTGAATCATTTGAGAAATCCGGCACAATCTGATGTTCTCTGGAGGTGAAAGATGCTCCTCATCTGTAGCCTCAAAACAGACAACACCAACACCTGAACCGGGCCTCCTGGTTCCCATCCCACATTTATTTATTTATTTATTTAATCAGGACAGTGCACATTAATGAACAATCTCATACAGATTGTAAATGAGCCAGATTATAGCATAGTTGCTAGTTTACATCTGTAGTCCTGAGGCAGGAAGACAAAACAACACAAAATCACAAAATACAAAATACACGTTCAGACAATGACATTACAAAATTAAAATTAATTCAATTCAATTCAATTTCATTTATATAGCGCCACATCACAACAACAGTTGTCTCACAGCGCTATATAGCGCCACACATCTCGGAAAGATGCTGGATGTGTCATATCTGGTGTCCCGTATCGAATCTTTTCCTCGTTCTTTGGATTTGGGCCACCGGCTGTTTCTCTGGGGTTTTACGTTAGCCACCAGAAGTGACTGACTCAGGACTTCCTGCTCACATCCTTTCCTTATGATGTGTCCTCGGTCAATGTATTGATCCTAGAAAAACCAACCACGAACACAAATATCAGATCTTGAACACAGAATTCCTCAAACAGGGAATATTTTCCCGATAAAATCCAAATTACTCCTGAATACCTGAACATAGAATACGATATTCATACCAGAAGGGACAGTACAAAGAAAAAAAAAACATAGAAATGCCAAAGATATACTTGCTAAATAATAGTTATATAAAGATACATGCTAACACAAATACCATCATGCTAAAAACAGAACTTTGTGGCTCAGTACCTACAATACTGTCCTAAACATTTCCCCTTTAGCTCTTAGCAGGAAAACAATAATAAGTTTGGTAAACCCCCCTTAAAAAAACTTTTCTAAATCATTTCCGCATGTCTCAAATGTTTGAGGCCGTGGATCTACGATGGTTGGTGTCCACAGGAGGAACTTTGGGAAGGAAAATGAGATTGAAAAACAGCTTTTAAAGAAAGTAGAGTCAGAGCTAGTTGTCTTTATTGTACTTTGCTTTGTCTTATGCTAACCATAAGGTTCATTTTCACCAAAGGAGCTTCCTAGAGGAACCTTCCATTCGTATCTCATTTGTAGGATCTCTAGAACTGACTTAAAAACTGTTTTAGAAACTGTCTTAGAAACTCTAGAAGCTCATCTCTAGAATATTTAGCTTTACTTTTTACTCCGTTTTTTACCATCTCATCTCTCAGAATCTCCCTCTCTGATGTCCTTGTGTGGGTAGAGACTCTGGAATGAGACCAGACCGGTTTACGCTAAAACAGATCGTCTTCTCTCCGTAATATTTGGAAATGGTGTTTTTCTGAGTTTGTCCAAACCGTCCTGTTCCCTGAGATAGATAGCAGCCTCAGGCCTGAGTCACTTTAAGTCCTGCCAAAGCTAAATAAAACCGGTTCGACCGGGGCCTCGCGCTGTCACAGGAACGCTTAGATAAGAGATCGCCGTCCTTTTTGTTTTTTTTCTAAACGATGCATTCAGGAAATGTGGAGAGGAGACAGAAGATGAGTCATGGGGAGCGCCCCCTCCCGGAGTCCTTTGATCACTCACACAGGAGAGAAATCTGGGTTTCAATTGACGTCATTTTGCCACTGAAATGGTTTATTTTTTTGCTACAGATGGTAAAGAAAATAATAATGTTGTTTCTTTAACATTTAACTTGACGTTTCGGTAAACACAGACTAAGAACTCCATCCATCTCTTTTCTGTACAGCTTATTAGCAACGGGGTCAGGTTGTTTAAATTATCGATACTTAAATGTTGTATCCGGATACGATACTCATTTCAAAGGTATTGATACCATCCCCCCCCTTTTCTCTGATTTATTTATTTATTTTTCGTTAACATGACGTTAGCCTTGAATTGCTAGCTGCGGCTATTGGCTAATAATAACCCACCACTGAATTAAACTTTGTACATAATATTATGTTAAAATAGTGGATGTTAAATAGGTTTGTACAGTAAGTCCAAACAACTTTAACCAAAAAATACTTATGTCTTACAATTATGAAGGGTGGAGGGTTAGGGTCAGGGTCAGGGTTAGGTTCAGTAAGGTGGGCCACCATAACATCAGTAACAGGTCAGTTTGAAACCAAAGAAACTAACCTGTCAAAATTCAGTTAAATTTGGAGGTCTTTGTTTTTAACCTTGTGGTATCGAAAATGGTATCATATTGAATATTTTCCTGAGTATCGGTATCGAGTTGAAAATGTTAGTATCATGACAACCCTACAACGGGGGGACGTTATTTAATGTAAACTTTAAACCATTCAAATGGTTCCAAGGGCCAACCCCCAACAACCTAACATGCAGGTTTTTGGAGGGTGGGAGGAAGCCGGAGAACCCGGAGAGAACCCACAGACACAGGAGAACATGCAGACTCCACCCAGAAAGGTCCTGGTTCCCCCGGGACTCCAACCCAGAACCCTCTGGTCCTGGTTCCCCCGGGACTCCAACCCAGAACCCTCTGGGTTCTCCAACTTAACATGCAGGTTTTTGGACGGTGGGAGGAAGCCGGAGAACCCGGAGAGAACCCAACCAGATATCTGAATGTTTAAGTTCTGAAAGATTAACATTTAACTTCAGTTGGACCTCATTTTTCTCCAATTCGGCGCCTCTTTTTCTTCATCCCTGGCTCCTCTTCCTCAGCTATCATCAGATTCAAACCAAATCCAACAGAAATTGGCCAGAAATGGTGTCAGGAGTTTATAGAGAAATGGCTTTTTGTCACGGGTGAACTGCCCATTCTGTTCAGTTCAGTTCAGTTCAGTTCAAGAGTTTATTTCAAACCCGCACACACATTTTAGAAGACATATAGTGACAAACAATACAAATGTATGGTTTGAGATAACGCAGTGGAGGCCTTTTCGTTGTGTGTTTCCCCTCCGAGTGCTGAAATGGTGAAATGGAGTTTATAGAGATGGCTTTTTGTCACGTGCGGGGCCCTGAAAAAGAGCCGACACTAAAGGATGACTCGACTTTTATGTCCCACAGGCAGAAAGAGCCGGCAGCTGTCCGGCAGAATACCGCGTCCTGTCGGTCTCCTCCTTGTTCTCCAGCAGTTGTTGTCGGGGCTTTTTCCGCCTCAGTCAGAATCAGAAATACTTTAATAATCCCAGAGGGACATTATTTTTGTCACCAACTCCAGAAATACAACAGCACATACATATATACATATCTATACAAATATACATATATATATATATATACAACATTCCACACCAAAATATATTATGTAACTTTATGAATATGTGTGTGTATATGTATATATATATATACACACAACATTCCACACAAAAATATAAATAGATATATACATATGTAACTATGTGTATATATGTAGATCTAAAATAAGCGATAATGATAGTGTGCAGAAGAATAAATAAATGCCAATAGTTTAGTCAGAATTACAGGAAGTTGGTAGTTTAAGTTTGAAACTGGCTGTTTTCAGCCTTCCAGTGTTTTTTTTAATGTTTGAAGACGTTTGCTGACTTTCTGAAACACGACTCAGACGAACTCAGACGTAGTTGGAAACCTGAGAATAAACCAGAGTGGATCAAAAGTATAAAAATTGACATTTATTGTGTCACAGTTAAGTGTATCAGCTGGGCTCTGACAGACTAAAACCTCTCTCTGGGTCTCAGTGGCAAAGAGCCCTGAGATCTGGGTGATGGGCATTATCTCCTGGGCTCCATCCGCCTCCTCAAAGGAGGACTGGACACAACCAAGTCCTATTGGCCAGTTACCTCTGGGCACGAACAGGCCAGGTCCTAATTCATGCAGATGACAGGAATGTGCTAACAAATGGTGTGTGTGTGTGTGTGTGTTGACCTAAAGGTGGATCTAATGCAACAGAGAGAGAAAAAGAGAGAAAAGAGAGTCTGTGGACACAGCCAGAGACTTTAACACAAAATATAGTTATAAAAAAAGTTATAAAATCAGTAATTAGCATAGATCATGCGATAGCATACAATGCTAAAGTGAGTAATTATAGCCAAATTCTAACAAGCCTCCAAATCAACACGGGAGCACTGTCTAGGTCAGTTTCTTTCTTAGCCCTTTAAAGCCTGATCCAAGAAAAATAGGAAGAATTTTAGTCTTTTCTTAGTCTTTCTTTGGCCCCTCAACAACATATTAAGAAAAAAAAAACTGAAATGATTTTGATCAAATTAGCGTGCAATAAGTCAAGATTGTGTCAAATCAAGAATTCAACACAAAAATATAGTTATAAAAGAATATAAAACAATCAGTAATTTACATATGTGATAGCATACAATGCTAAAATGAGTAATTATAGATAAATTCTAACAATACACTACTGGGAACAGCAGTAATACTGACTGGAGGAGAAAGCTGGGCTTCAGATTTTGACTTTAAACTGTTCAAACTGTTTGGATGTTTATTATTTATCTGTTTACTGCCTCTCTGATTGGTTGTTTGCTGTGTTGGGAGAAGACTGTGAAACAATGGTGGTCTTGGCAATTAGCCCCTCCTAAAACAGGTCCCCTGGAACAGTTAGCATCAAACGGATCGATGACGTGTGTGTGTGTGTGTGTGTGTGTGTGTGTGTGTGTGTGTATGTGTATGTGTGTGTGTGTGTGTGTGTGTGTGTGTGTGTGT